GTATGTATGTATGTATGTATGTATGTATGTATGTATGTATGTATGTATGTACGTACGTACGTACGTACGTACGTACGCACGCATGTACGTACATATAGCTATCACGGACCTTAAACCAGATAAAAAGAGTTAAGAAAAATATTCTCATCCTCCTTTTTTAATGGCCAAAAGTAGCATTATGCTGAAGGAGTGGACCATTTTAAATGAAAGAATTCAGCAAGAGCCTGAAGCTTTTGGAATTAGTACTGAAAAAGTTGTAGTCCACATCCTTCTGAGTTAACTATAAACACATATAGGACTTATTGACTACAATATGGTTCTGACATTCATTTTCCAGAAGGCAAATTGATGAGGCTAGTTAGAATAATTTGCCTAACTTCCTAAGCAGAAAGAAAAGCCTGAGTCCAAATTGCACAACCACATATTTCTAACAAACCACTATTTAACAATAGGAAAGAGATAACAAGAGTGAGTGAGGGAGGGAGGGAGAGATTGGCCTGGAAGGCAATGGACATGGTCAATTGAGGTAGTCCTGTCCAACCATAAAGTTAGAAATATCTGGGTTTAGGTTTATGTAATTAAACATAATAGTCTTTGAAACTGGAAGGAAAACTAGAGGAGCAGAGACAGGAATTTTATACTTTGTGGTATAAAATTCATGTCTCTGCTCCTCTAGTTCAAATTTATTTATCCAGTTTTAATTTTAAAACTTCTCTATTTTTTCAAGGTTTTCATGATAACCTAATGGATTTAATTGAAAGTCATTATGTCAAGCTCTTGATAAAGGTCCTTTAATTTTAAATGACATGGATCTAAACAACTATGATTAAACTTTGAGATTCATGGATTTTTTTTTAAGAATCAGAACCAGTCCCAGATTCAATTTTAATTTTATTTAGCAATATTAGCTAAACAAAAGCTAATATTTATTTAGCAATATTAGCAAGAGACAATGCTATTTTGATGATGATGATGATGATGATGATGATGATGATGATGATGATGATGATGATGATGATGATGATTTAATTGATTTTCTCACTTGCTGGGTAGAAAAACAATTTTTAGACACTGCATTTTTATTCTATGTGCTCTATTGAAAATCATTCTCTTCAATGTGTTGCAGTGAACTGTTAATTAGAGTGCTTTAAAGAAAAACCACAGGATAACATTTGTGATGTCACTAAAAGGAGAACAATTTGCTTCTCTCCATGATACATAAGGAACAACATTTACTCAAAAACTGAAAACAGAAAATGAGAAGAAAATGGTCATATACTGTGCAATTTGCAAGAGTAATAAATCAGTCATTAACAAACCAATATACTCCATCTATTTTCCATAGCCTCTGAGATCAGTTCTAATTTGTTTTTATTTTTGCCATTCTCCTGATTTTTTTCAGGAAATATATGGCAAGCTAATGGTTACATCTGGATTCAGAAGATAACTGATCTTGCAGATAAGAAATCTTGAACTTCAGATACTGTACTGGAAGAGGGCATAATGTCAGTGACCTGAATTATGCTTTTGAAAACATCAAAATCATAGATATGATAAAACAATAAACTATAAGACAGGGGAAGCACAAAATAGAGAACAGATAGACTAAATGTATCCAAAATTACGAATTTAACCTCTTAAGACAAAAATTATAGCTGCTTCTGATCTACACTGGTTTTTTGCTGATGTCAAATCTAGCATTTCAAAAAACTTTTACAAGGGGAATATTTTTTTATATGTTACTGTTCTGAAAATATTCTGACCTTTCTGGATTAGGAGAGAGTAACAATGGTAATTCATGCACTTGTCAGCTCACGGTTTGATTGCAATTTGTTCTACCTGAAATTACCCTACATTTAGAAGCCATGTAGCTTGCTTGCCTTATAATGGGGGAAGACAGAGTCTATAGTAGAATTATCTGGGTATTGAAGGAATCACACTGGTGGTCAGTTGACTTCTAAATCAACCAGGTTTTTGTTTTATGGACTTATGCTCATGTTTTATAGTTCTTTGCTTTTACTGTTGTTGCAAGCTGCTCAGAATTAAGGTGGACACTGATACAAACCTTTTAAATACATAAATTAAATAAATTCTAGGAGTATTTAGGTGACATATATACAATGGTGCATAAATCCTATAGCTTTTATATAAGAAATGTACTACAGTGGAATCAATTTTTAATACTGGACACAGGGGAGGGCAGAGAAATGACAAAAACGAAGCCCTGATTTGATTTCTAATTATTCATACGAAGTTGGCTTATACCGAAGCACAGTCGAAGAAGGGATTTTTTTCTAGTCTGTATGCATATTTGTGTTTGGGGGGTGTGTGTAATTTTGATTCTCATCCTATTCTATAAGTGTTTATTTTCATTTCATTTCAGTGAGACAGCTCTGAAAGCCAATTTTGTCTTTTGGGGAGTGGAGGGATAAATGATAGTTTTGTTTCTTTCTCTCCTGCTTTCTCACTCACTATGTGAATTTGGAGCTTGCTCATTTGAAAAGATTTCTTAATACAATCGGTTTTCCTTCTATGAACAGATGGTTTCAAATGTTCAGCCTTGCAGTTTACCTTTAGAATTTATAAATTAAGGAATCCAAACTCAGAAAAAAGAAGAAACCCCAGAAGTGTATTTTTTAAAGTGAAATAATGCAAATTTACACAACCAAAACTATCATAAGCATGTTAAACTATACTCACAGAAAGCACTAGTTTGTAAAATATGGTTAAGAAACAACAGTATCCATGTTTCCATAAGATACTAAACTAAAACAAAGTTAAATCTTAAGACATGTCACATAACATACTAAGACAATGAACATGTGTTCACTCACATACACAGGCAAGATTTTATCAAAGTACTATGTAAGCCACAACTTAATAGCCTGTTCAACCTCAGCTAAAGAGACAATAGCCTATTCTTCATTTGGAAAGTGAAAAAACATTGCTTGATATTGTCTCTGAATAGATATAGACAAGATTTAAGAAAAGAGGTTACACTATGATCTTTCCATTATAGATAAAAACTGAAAAAAACTAGCTTCTAATAGTTGTCGATATTTTACAAGACTTCCAAAATATTTGAACAGGCATGAAATGAGACAAGTAGCTCAAAGGTACTCAAAACATAACTGCATTTGAGTATCATAATGAAAATCAAATAAAGGTCAGCCTTCCCAAGACAATTATTGTCAAATGGATGGCACTAAACCATCACATTTTTAATTTAAATTATGGAACAGTGTCCAAACATATAAACCAAAATAATGTATTCTGAACCTGGGGCTGGAATGGTTGAGGGAATAATACAGTTTTTAAAATGAGTGTTTTAGTGTGTTCCCATTTAAAAAAATTGTTGATATAACACAGGGATCAGAAACCTTAAACACTCAGAGCCACAAAGGTCCTAATTGGAAGCCCCCATTCAATTCTAGAGCCGACTGGAAATCCGGTTTCCCCATTATAGAGTCTCCTCCTAGCGCGGTGTCCTTTTTCCTCTACTTGCCCTAACTAAAAGCTCTATCAATTGTGGATCTGACCATAAAACCTGCCCCTTGCCATAGAGTGTCCTCCTGGTGTGCCCTGCTTCCCCCCTAACCAGAAGCTCCTCTCAAAATTGTGGTGCTGACTGGCAACAGGGAGCCACAGCAGAGGGATGAAATCACCACATGCGGCTCCAGAGCTGTGGGTTGCTGACCCCTGATATAATACATGTTAAAGAAATGGAAACTGGAAAAAATGCACTATTTGGGGTAATCTTGTTCGGTTTGTTCTATTCTGCCACTCTAGCTATTTTTGCATTGTACACTTTACAAAAGGTGTATCCAATCTGTGGCCCTAAGCCACATCCCAGGATAGCTAGTAATGCAACCATACAAAGTTTATAGAAAGCAAAGGAAGTTTATTATTTATATACATTAATTGTATTATATATTTTATATGTGGCCATAGGCAATTTATTTTCTCTCAATGTGGCCCAGACAATTCAAAAGATTGGACACCAACCTATCTTGTGCATCATTATTGCTTGCTTTAAAGACTATTTTCTGGGGAGGTTTTCCCCACAGCAGGAAAGTACTTTTAAAAAGTGTATTTCTAAACTTTGGAGCATAGAATTAGAGCCAGGATTGAGTGGTGCATGGGGTTAAGTCAAATATTAAAATCGATTTAATTTAAGCTGAAAATTAATTAAAAAGAAAGTTCCAGCCACTTGGACTATAGGCTGAAAGCTTATAAAATGCATGCTCTTGGATCAAAATGAATTTGGATTAAGTATCAGGTCTAAGCTAACATTTCCAGGCATTGGTCCAAATATTTACTTTTAAACATGAGGGATTGAAGTGAAGATCAACTCTACAAATGCCACTTTATCCATGCCAGTATTTTGTCTGGGAGCTTTGTTTCTGGTGCCTCTGCTACGTAATATTGACAGACAAACAACCAAATCTTGCTCAGATGAGACCAAGCTTCACTAATATATCCATTAATATATCCACCCACCCTGGCACCCAGAAAGGTTTTTCCAATGAGTAGCTAAGTTTGCTGATCTAGTATGCCAATCTGTCTGGCCATCAAGTAAACCAAAGAATGAGAAGTAGCAAAGCCACAGTCTTAGGGTAACATAACTTCTCTACAGGTTCTTACCTGTCTACAGTTCCTCATTAGAATACATGGAAGCTAATTTACTGACATTTCCTTATCCAAACTATTTACTGTCTGTCTTAAAAGAGGTACAAAGGAAATATCCTTTTAAAAATCATTAGAGTAAAACTATTCAGTCCAAACTCAGCAGAGGTGAGTAAAAGATCTAACTTTCCTGGTATTTTTATATTATTATCCTTTAAAAAAAAGAAGCAGCTGCAGATGTTTTTGTGTTTCCCTTTATAGTCTGAAGTTATTTATTTATTTTCAAAATCAGGTGCAGGCGTTTGAAGCTGCTTAAATTAAATATGTGCCCTATTAAGCCACACATTAAAATTGAATCCTGTCTTCTTTGAATTATACTTATATTTGAATGATCAGTAATAATTCATATATTATTACTGGAACTCTCCCGATTTGCATCTTAACTGCCAAAATAAATTACTGACCTATCCTATCTGCAACATACTGTAACTAAATTAAAGTACCTTTGATTTAGGTTGATTCAACCTTTAATCCTTCCGAGGTGGGTAAAATGAGGATCCAAAATGTTGGGGGCAATATGCTGACTCTCTGCTTAGAGAGGGCTGCAACGCACTATAAAGTGCCATATAGTTCTAAGTGCTACTGCTATTACTATTTTCCAGTGAAATACATTGGAATCCATTTTACTATTCTGAGTATATTGCCTTAACCAATTGATAATTTAGAACATGGCTATGTTTTTTACAAACCTGAGTAGCAAAGTGACTTATCACTTAGAAAGCTTAGACCCTGAAATTCTTAGCACTTGTTACACTTACAAAGGAACCAGCATGCACAACTTTTTGCTGCCAACCACACCTTTCTTTTGAATGATATACTCCCCAAAGTAGACAGGACCAGGACAAAGAAGTGAGCAAGTCAAGGACAATAACTAAATGTGATTTGTTTACATTTGAGCTGTATGAAATTAAGTAAATACAATTGTTATGAATGCTCCCCATACACTTAATTATCTTCTCCCTTTGTATCATTTTAAAAATTATACTTTACTGGAAAGTTTTGAAAGTTCTCTGGAATAACATTCAAAGGTTGAAAGAGGCTTAAAGTTATGAACCTTGGACATAAAAGATTTCAGTACTAAATTACACACTACCTGTCGAGGGGTCCTTTCCGACTTACTTCTGCACCACTCCCAGTCAGAGAGTTCTGGTTTCCGGCCCTCCTCATGAGACAACCTTCTTTCTGGTCCTTCAAAAAAAGTTCCTTTTTCAATATTCCCGATCTCTTCTTTCTTATATGACATTTTATCAGGCATTAGGCAGTCTATGAATTTATCCCTGCTTAAGTCTTTCCTGGTGTCTGTGCTGTCAACATTTTTGCAACCAGCAATATTTTTATACATGGAGCTGTCCACTACAGAAATGGTGCTGATCTCCAGTTTGCTGCTTTCTTTTTGAGTTCCTTTTGTGTTCTCACAATCGCAGTTGAGCAAGCTGTGATAGGATATTGAATTGCTACCATCACTGTGGTGATTGTCATGGGATATCTTATAGATTCCATAACCTTGTTGAAAGGACAAATTGAATTCAAAACCTCTTCTTTTGGCTAAAGAAAAAAAGAAAGCAAAGCATTGCATTAAAACAACTAGAAGCCGGCAGGACAGTTAATAGTATTTTTTTTTAAAAGTACACCATATTTTAATAATTGGGTGTCAGTAAATTTTATCAAAACATATATTTTAAATCAATGTTTCAAACATTAAATGACAAAATAGGAAACAGCTGAAGCCAAAGTGTGTTTGCACAACATTCTTTACTGGGGCAGGGAGTAGGTCAGTATATTGTATAAATACGACAATCCAATTAGCACCAGACAGTAGAGGATATTTGTTTTAGCTGTAAACATACTATGGTTCATCACTGTAAAAACTGGAACAAAGGTTAACAAAAGGTTTACCTTATTTTTCGTTGCTGGCAAGGAGATCAAAGTTCTAAAGTGATTGCTCTAAGGACCTCTTGTCTTACTTTCTCTTTGCTTTTTATTTGCAGCTCATAGAGGGATTAAATAGAGGAAGTCATAGGCTGTGGTGAGTGAGCCTTCCCCAACTCTCCTCTGACAGAAATGTTGACCAGGCCAACAGATGTATTTTAATGCTTAAAAAAAAAAGCAGCAGGAAATAATTATCTCCCAGACAGTGTGGCAATTGGGCAGCCATCCAAAAAAATCTGTCCTTCATTTGATCACGTACAGTAGATGGACAAAGGGAAATCAGTCATACAGTCATTATGAGTGTGTTTAAAATTGTACTAAATGTAATAAAGGTATTTTGTACTATATATGTATATAACATTTGGAATGTGAAATAAAAATTTCTTAGAACAAGAGCATAGTTATTTCCCAGCTATTAGAAAACAGTTTTTTATGTTGGTTCTATTAGGAATTGTACACTTTATGAAAGTATGTTAAATTTACCCTGGAAGTAAATTAAATGACCTTATTGTAACAGAAATAATATAAAAATAAATTCTAATTTGACTTGGAGCTAGCATTAATAATATCCTGAAAAGTGTCCTGAAAAAGAAAATATTGCTATATAGTTGTACAATATACACTACAATATAGTAATATACTATTAGTATACTTTTGCTAAAATATATTATATAATTTCCTATTCTATTCTATTGTCTGCTCTGCTCTGCTGTCCTGTCCTGTCCTGTCCTATCCTATCCTATCCCATCCCATCCCATCCCATCCCATCCCATCCCATCCTATCCTATCCTATCCTATCCTATCCTATAGTTTTACAATTTTCTACATATTTTGTTGGTTTAATTATTCAGCCTTCAACTTTTTTCAGGGCTTGGATATAATTTTATTTCAGCGTCACAAGTCTAATATATACCTCCACAAACAAAGCCTATAATATTCTAATGAATCTCAGATCCAAAGTGAATCACATTGACCTCAATGAGATTTACTTTTTGGTAACTTAATATAGCATCGCAATAAAGTAAATTAACTTCTCCCACTGATGTAAACTTAACTTCACCCTTATATTGTTGGCTGTTTAAAACAATGAACTCTGAAAATATTCTGATAAAATTCAGACTATATAAATTAGTCATAAAAAGTCACCTTGAGTTAAAAGGGAATTACATATAAGTAAGTAATGGGATTTTTATTTTTTAATGTCTTGAGAGGAATAGAAGTAGGAACAGAGATTTCTGAAGTGACCACTCTTGCTGGTAGAGATAGATGGTAAAGTTAAGAGTAATATTCAAAGCAGTGAGGCAAGCATAAAGAAAGCTAGCCTGCCTAAGAAAAGAAAATCCAAAATTAAATCTAGAAAAAGGCAATCGCAAACCACTTTATACTTTGATCAAGAAAATAGTATAGGCATTGTTAAAACATTGTGAGACTTCTAGTATGGGAAATACTTCTCTTGTTACTGAGGAAGAACAGGGAAACTTCCATAGGCAAATAAGGAGGTAAAGATAAGGCATGACCAAAAGAGTAAGAAAGTCTAGATATCAATGGTGCCAATACTGAGAAGAAGATTTTCTCAAAAACACATAACGTTATAACATGGGATGGCATGAAACGAATGCAACTTTTTTAAAAAGTGGAAATGAAGTCTATTAAACTGAAATTTTAAGAATATTTAAACATAGGTGGTCTGGAATGAGGTACTTCAAATCATATAATTGCATACTATATTATTATGGAACTGGACAATACAGTATAAAGAAATTGAGTAACAATAATACTAAAAACAAGCACGTCTAAGCATGTGCCTAGTTATGACTCAATAAATGGTAGGGTCATATCTATAAGAATTGGAGTATAGCCAACAACTGTATAGTCAAGTGTTTGTCCCCACTACAAAATGGAAGATGTTGGGAAATTGAAAAATAACTGAAGTAATACTATAAAGGGTGATTGCCATGCAAACATTGAAGAAATGGAACTAAAAACCATAAGAAGATTTGAAAAAATGCAAAAATGGAGAGGAAGTGTTAATAAATAAACACATGAAAAAATATTTATTGCTAACTATTTTTAAAGCAACATAAATGCATATTAAACAGTATATAGTATATGGGCATTACTGGATGTACTATAGCAGAATCAAACAAACAATTAGAAAAAGAAGATGGAAAAATGCAATCCAATGCAATCCAGGCAGTCAAGCAGTTTCAGAAAGAAATTGAGGAAGATACTATAACTATTTGGGAAAATAAAAATAGAAGTGTTAAAAGAAAGAATTCACAAGAAATCATGGGGAAATGATATATAGATAGGAATACTTAGAACTATGTAATCACAAAAGAGATATATAGTTGAATCAAATGAGGTTGAAGGCATATGAAAACAAATTGAATTATGCAATTATAGAAAGCATTTTCAGAATATGTTCAGGAACCACTCAGTTATGATAGAAAGCAAACTAGGTACCACATAAGAAAACAGTGGAGCAAGTTAATACATATTTGCACTGATTAAAGTTGCAGGAGAAGAAGCAGTCACTATGCTAACAGTTCTCAGTCAATAAATATAGAACAAGATTTTATAGCCTAAAGATTATAAAATATTGGTGAATATACCCATATTGACATAGTTGATTAGGTCCTTATGCAAGCAAAGTTCAACTTCAAATTTTACAAAGATGTTTACACAGATTTCTACAAACAAGAGAAATCAGATTATTTTCTTTGACTCTGATGATTCTTCTGACAAACTTTTACAATAAACTGGAAGTTATTGCAGAAACCAAATTTAGAGAAAAATAATGAATAGGGAAAAATGAGACAAGGATATCTCTTGTTCCCATGCATGTCTAACAGAGATTTAGTGTCTTAAATAGTAAACGAATGGAAAATGATTCTAGATAAGAATTTAAGATGTGAAAACATTGTCAGCAGAGAGTAAGGCAGTTCTCACAATGAAAATATGCATTGTGAAAAAATCTGGGTTAATGTTATTATTAATGGTAAAGGATTTGAAGGGATAATTTTGTTTCCTTGGGCTCAAGGATAGATAGACAAGGTCAGTGTGCTGTAGAATAAAAAGCAGATTAATCCTAATGAGGAAGGCACTGATAGTGTCATGAAAGGATAGTTCTATGACAACAAAGATCAGAACAATTACAATTATAATCTTTCCACTGGCAATATATGGCCGTGAAAGCTGCTATTGAAAAGAGAGAGAAAGAAGATAATTGCCATCAAATTACAGACCTGAAAATTATTACTAAGAGAATCATGGATTTAAAGAAGAACTCATCAATCCTTGCTGTCCCAAAATGAATTAGAAATACAATTTTATGTTTGGAGATATATTTAGTTTCTGTGGAGGCTAGAGCTTGGCTTTTACTTGTCAACTTTTGACTAAAATTAATTTTCTTCCCTATAAGTCTGGCCCGTTTAGCCTTTAGGGACTGCTTTAAATCAATGTGGCTTAAGAAAGCTACTGATAAAATCCATTTATTGAGTTTTTCAATTCAGAGTCTCTGCTCCTTAGGCTTTGAAAATGCCAGATGTGCTCTCAAGCCTCAAATATTGTTATTAAGAGTAATCTACTGTTAAATTCACAGTCTAAGCCTGGTGATAACATAATAATTCAAGATCTAACAAATGACCTAAGAATTTTTTAAGGTAGTGCCTAAATATATAGGCAGTTCTAAGCAAGGTGGGGTGTTTTTTTTTGGGGGGGGGGTTAGGGGAAACTACGGTGTTCAGGTCCAATAAATTAAATAAATTTTTAAAAATTCCAAATATTGAATGAGTCCTTTGGGTATTGCTCTGAGGGCTCCAATCAAGATTGGGATAAATACAGATTTATTTTTTTCATAAGTATACAGTATTGTGGTTTGACATAGTCAGCCAGCTGTTCAGATTCTTGTTATTTAAATTTATTGTCTACCCAATTCTAGGGAACACAGCACTTCAGTTTCCCAAACTGTGAGGTGTTCCTTCCATGGGGAAATATGAAGAATCTTTCAGTTACATTGTTATAATAAACCTATATTTTCCATCATTTCAGTGTATTATTTTCATTATTCATTTATGTTTGTTTTGGTCTTTGGATTTTTAGGGGAGATGTGTACATTAAAATAAAGAAAGGTATGGTGACAAAGAGTTTAGGAACCCTTGACCAAAACTAGGTTCTAATGTCTAGTCCTAAAACCTGTGAGATTGCACCAGCCTACTATTTACCATCTATTGTAATATCAATATATTGTAGGTCTTTTACCTTAACTGGACTAGATGCACAGCCTTCATTAGTCATCTTTGGACGGTCAAAGAATACTCCAGTGCATCACCACCTACTGTAGACCCATGCAGAGATGGTTCATTACAGCCATAAGTTCCTCTATTGTTCCTATAATAGGGACTCTAGCATGACTCAAACACTTCATCCTAAAGACATTTGGGGACAGAGAGCACAACATTTATTTATTGGTTCTCTTATCTGAGAGTAACCCAACTCATATCCTTCCAGGTTGCTCATTCCTACATGTACTAATCATAGTACCTGTAGTTGAAGATCCTGACTTATTAACTTTCTGATATTTTATGATAGTTTATTCTATAATTATTGCACTTTTATCCCTATACTATTAAATTCTGTGTTTTATTCTTATTTCTTGTTATATATCTTATATCTATATAGACTTATCAATCAATATATATGTATATTTATATTCGCTTATTTTTAAGACTTTAATTTATTGCTTTCCTTATGATTGTAATAAGGTTATTTGATTTGAATCCTGGGTCTAGGAAAGTCTGATTCCTCCCTTGAGGAACAGCAAACAAAAACTCATATACTTTGGGCATTTGATATAAGATGGACTAGATCTGTGTTGTCTATGTTTAGAAGTATGGGAGAACTAAAAAAAAATGGGAAGACAACTGATAAAGTAGATAGAATGAATCAAAGAAATTATAGGTTTTTTGGGAGAAGAACTTCAGGGTGTTGAACATTTGTACATGCAGTTGTCAGGAATCAGGTTGACTTACTAGTGCCTAACTAACATATTAATCATCTAATTGAATGTCTGCAATTTAAGTTTATTTTATTTTTTCAATTTTGTTTGTTTGCTTGATGTGCAATTGGCTTGGAATTCAACATCTGCTACTTTTTTTTGGTCTGACTTTAATTCTTCATATTTGTTTTATGTAGTGATTCTGGAAGAACAGTGAACATAAAATCCTTCTCTTCAAAATCAACTGTGGCTCAATCACCATCTTTGTTTGAGTCCCAGATTTAGATTGAATAGTATTATCTACATCATTTTTTAACATTTATGTTAAACAGGAACCTATGCAATTATTACTAATACCAGTATTAGTTTATTTTCCTGCTCTGCACAAAAGAAGGAAGTAATATCTCAGTTCTGCAACAGCTTGATCCAGAAAGTTTTCTGCTCTGGAACACATAAATCCGGTTCAATCCAGCTTCTTAAAATATTAAATAATAAGTTTGGTGTAGTATTTAAGGCATCAGGCAAGAAATCAGGAGACTATGATTTCTAATCCACAGTAGGTACAAAGTCAACTGGTGATCACAAACCAGTTTCTCTCAGCTATGGGAAGCCAGCCAGTGGCAAATCACTCCCAAAATACTAAGAAAAATGCAGGGACGTCTTCAACACTGACTTGAAAACACACACACACACACACGCACATGCACACGCACACACTAATATTTAAGGACTTCAACAGGGAAGACAGTAAGCGTCTTAAGTGTCAGCCTCTAACATTATTTGTATTCATAAGAATGTTTCTAAGTTCAAATAGCTCATACACAGTAGGTGTTCTTAAAAAAATCAAAATGACAAGGAGCTGCAACAAATACTCTAAAGCTGTATCCACCTGCCCAGAAAAAGGAAAGGCTAATTAAATTGGGAATTGTAGGGTGCTCCAAATAAATTGAAGGGAATGAATGTTTGACGTCTCGCTATCTTGTATATAACTATCATAATAGTCATCTTGTGAGTGCTCTCATTGTATGTTCTCAGAATTCCAAGCCTGTCATCTCTGCAAATAAGTTGATTAATTACAGGTAGTCCTTGACTGGCAGCAGTTCATTTAGCAACTGTTCAAAGTTACAGTGGCGTTGAAAAAAGCGACTTATCACCATTTTTCACACTTATGACCATTGCAGCATCCCCATGGTTAAGTGATCAAAATTCAGACTCTTGGCAACCAACTTATTATGGTTGCAGTGTCTCAGGGTCATGTGATCATTTTTGGTAACCTTCTGGCAAGTAAAGTCAATGGGGAAGCCACACTCACTTAACAACCATGTTACTAACTTAACAAGTGCAGGGATTCACTTACTGTTGCAAGAAAGATCGTAAAATGGAGCAAACAAATATCTCACCGAGCAACAGAAGTTTTGGGCTTAATTGTAGTTGTATGTCTTGGATTACCTGTAACATTGATTCTGGAATACAGGCTTAATGGTAGCGATCCTAGTGTCTCCAGATGTTTCAAGCAACAGTCCTCACAATCTCCTCTCATTGGCTCCCTTAACTGCATCTGATTGGAATTAGATTTCTAAACTTCTAAAGAGCACCAGGTTTCCTATTCCAATTGCCACTTTCTACTTCTATCCTTTGTAACAGAATATGTTAGAAATAAAAGCGAGCTGTAGTTGCCACCAAAAGTAGCCATAAAAATAAAAGATTTTAAAGTAGAGGGATATTGTTTTTAGATACTATGATTGTATGTTTAACTATTTAGTTCTGCCTGGGGCCATAAAGATGGGTAAATATTTTATTTTGGGGCGGAGGGGAGGAATAACCTTTAGCATTAACAAAACGAGAGAAAAAGTTTACCTTTAAATTGTTAGATAATTGTTGGATCACCATCTGCTATAAATATCTTTCTGCAAATATTTGATCAACGCCAGAAATATGCAGAAGGTGTACACATTGTTTCTTAACATAAAGCAAACACGGAAGAAGGCTGTAGAACAGGGATGTCAAATGCGATTTCATTGAGGGCCGCATCAGGGTTGCATTTGACCTCAAGGGGCTGGGGTGGGCACGGTCAGGGTGGGTGTGACCAGTGCGATATCAGAGGCACCTGTGGTGGCCCGAGCACTCTGCCAGCTAAAACGGGCTCCTGAGCTCCATTTTCACTGGCAGAGGCATGTGGGACGGTCCTTTGCTATTTCTGGTTCATCTCTGTGGGCTAGATCTAAGCACCCTGAGGACTGGATCTGGCCCATGGGCCTTGAGTTTGGCACCATTGCTCTAGAAGATTCAGAGGATGCACCTTTTTGGACAGAAAAGATCCATTTTGCTTTGGGAATGAATTGTGAATAAAATTGTACTTCACAACCACTGAAATGTACTGTATATGGGTTGCCTTAATGGGCAGTTTTAAACTTTGGCTGTTAATGAGACATGGAAAATTAAAACAATACACCATGTGAACTGCCATTAACTTTGATGAAAGAAGAGTGTAAAACCATAGCAATTCTCTTCCACCACTATTTGGTCTTATTTTATGTAACAGAAGTTGAACTTTTGTCAGTCATATTGATGTTCCAATACCACAAAGGAGTCTGCATTTTAAAATAAGTCAACTCAGGCCCAAAGAAAGTGTTTGAATGAAAAATGTTAAAACGATATAAAACTATAGGTTTTACATCCCCTTGGATCTGCAGTATATAACAGTAGAACTTGATAATGTCTCTTTGGAAGAAGCAGTATAACCTCTTTCCCCATCCTTCCTCCTTACCTTTGTTTTCCTCTGATGACACTGAATAGATGCTCTTTCTACAATTGATAATGCAACCACAAGGCAGGTGACTCCAGTGCTCTGACAAGACAAACATCGGAGTGACAGTGACAGCTAGCAAAGTTAGCAGGAAGCTGAATATCTCAAAGGAAAGATTGTGAAACTCAACAGTGTATTGAACAACCATTTGTATCTGAAAGAGAGAGGTATTCCAGAGAAATTAAGCAACAGACAGCTGGCTTCTACAAAAGCAATCACATATTATGATCCCTCTCTTAAATATGTGCTTCATAGGCTTCCCCAGAGTTGAATATTGGCATCTTAGAAAACAAAGACATGATCCAGACAGGTGTACAGGACTCTTCTAAACCTGCTACTTACAAATAAATGCCACTGAGTTTGGTAGAGCTGACTATTACTTAGCATGGCAATGTATGTCTGCCATATGTTGCAATCCTATAGAAATAGTACAAGTGATGCTATTCCTCCCAACAACCTCATTTACTTGGGGATCATCTTCTACAATCCACATAATATGGCAGGCAAAACCAAAGCCAAAAGTACCCAAAACCAAAATTGCACACGCTGTATCATTACATTCACCAAACATATTTATGAGCACACTTATCTCTGCTCTGCTCTGCTCATGGTAAGGCTAAGACCCAGATTTGGATGGCTCATAGTCCATTAAGTCCTGGGCATGACCTAATGTTCTTTGTTAGACTCATCCAGTAGCGGATACAGATATTTTGCTGAGGATATATTTACAGGGCCATTGCAAAATAATGGACGTAACAACAAGCAGTCTGTGCTGCCTATCAAAAGACATCCAAAGCCATTTGCTCTCTATTATACAGCAGATAAACATTCCTGTTCTCCTGGAATTTGTCTCAACTGAGCTTCCGCATGTCTTTGAATTTTGACAGATGTCGAAAAGGAACTGTTCTAACACAAGTCCCATCTGTGCCTCTCAGAAATGCCAGTTGATTCAAGTGAAACAATAAATATTGATGCCTGTTCTATAGCAGAGAAGTAGCTTCAACACTGAGCTATTAATAAAGAGCCATTTGAGTTATTGCAAGGAGGTGGAAAGGTACCCTTGAGAAGATCACGTTGATAGATGATTTGCACAGTGCTTTCCTTATGCAGAGCTTCATAAATAAAGAAGCAAGTCCTTGCCCCATGGATATTACAATTTTAATCTCATAACTAAGGGCAAAGGGAGGATTGCTAGGGGAGGTTACAAGGGAAGAATGTGAGTGAATGCAGCTCTTACTACTGGATTGGCAACTATGCATTGCTTCTGAAATAAATTCTTATGTGTCTAATAGTGCTTATTTCCAGGGAAGAGTACACAACAATACACACACAAGCCTTAGACCAAACTGATGTAAAAATTAAAGTTCATCAGTGAATGTAGGATTGGAAAAGGGCTCGGAAGGAACAACAGATTTCAAAATATTCTCCCTAAGTGCTGGCAAAAATGGGATTCACAAATGCAATAGGAGGGCACTGAATGTGGTGTAAGAGATACATGACAAAAACAAAACAAACACATGTAAATGAATTGCTCTATCTGCAATCTATTGTCACAAACTTCAAGGCAGTAATTCTTTTTTTTTTAAACAAGGAAATAGAAAATAATGAAATTCTTCTAGTCATTTAGTCATACTTCTGAATTACATGGCTACAGGCAATTCACCACGAAAAGGTGTGCCTTGCAGCTAATAAACAAAGCAAGGAATATTTGGAAGATGCCAAAACAGACAACCTAATGCCCAACTGAACTGCATGAAGCATAAGAACTTGGTTTATTCCACCTAGTTTTCCACCCTTGGAATCATTCAACAAGATGTATTTGTAGAAAACTTATGCTAGCATAAAACTAGAATTGTAAAGTAGTTGTCTGGAATCTTTCTTGCATTTGACTATTACAAACCATTTGGCAAAACAAATCTCAATCATCTGAAAAGTAATTAAAATCTTACTCATTTCCTTAAGAAAACATCAATATATGTGCATTTTGAATTTCTGAACGTTAAATAAACCAGTATTAGAAATATACAGTACATTCAGTTGAAACTACAGTAATGTACCCAACTGTTTGACTAGACAAGGAATACTTTAAGCAGTAGCCAAACTGAATAAAGAAATACAAAGCAAGTGACACAGTAACTCATAAAAAAAAATCTTGATTAACCAATGTTTTAAACACAAGATGCAAGTTTTCAAATTGGACACAAGCTGTAGCTTAATTTACTCTGTTCTGCTGCTCCCCACTTCCAAATATCACTAGATACCACTTAACAAAGCCTTTAGAGATAAGGAAAAGAAATTTGGACAAGTTTTTTTTTACCATCATTGGGAGCCAAAGAATGACTTTGGTCAGAGCAAGAATTAGCGAGAAACGTTTCTGAGCAAATTCCACAGTGGTGTTCCGGTTGTTAGGTGGCACATTTCGTGTGCCGTAGTGATCCAAGTGACAGTGGTCAGCTGGACTTTGTCTGATAACTGGGTCAGAGTTCTGACAGTGCTTCTGGGTTTTATTCATAGTGTCTTCTATAGGAAGAGAAGATGTGTGACTTTCAAATGGAAGTACCCCAGAAGAAAAATGGCCACCAGTGATTTGATGATAATCATCATAAAAATGCTGTTGCTCATCTGAACACAGCAATTGATAAATAAGAGGAATGGAGAGTATAATTAGGAGACAGAAACACAATGAATAGATTATAAAGAGAAACAGGATATACGAACTGGAACAGTCAGCAAAACATCCCCAGGAGGTGGGAGCATAGGTGCCCCAGCCACATAAAGGCAAAATGCAAATCAGCAGGCAGACAATCCAGATGGTAAGAACAGCCCATATTATGCTCACTGGCCTCTTGGTGGCCCCTTGGCTCTCTCCCATTTTATTGAGGCTGTAGAAGTTATAGGAAACTACAAGGGACCCCATCAAGTTGCTGGAGAAGCCCTGAAATAAGTACAGTAGCGCTGAAGTGTTACACGCAGTCTGGGGAAGCATCTCATTCAACCAAGGCTTGAGCATAAAAATTGTTGCTGGTACCACACTAATCAGATCATCCACACTTAGAGAAGTTGCAAGCATGGAAACTGTACTTTTGTTCTGCATTCTCAGCAGGGAAACTAATGAATAGATGCTACCCAGCAGGGTTAGGAATGTGATGACAAAAGTCAAGCAAAAAATAAAAAGATTCAAAGATTTTTGGTCTTTGGGTATATCCATCATTCCCTGGTTTGGGAAGCTTGTCCCATTTAATGAATCATTAATATGGGTGACTGACATTGTCGCCAGGATGGTTGGGATAGCTGGGGTTGATGTTACTTTACCTTCTCACAGATTCTTTGAGTTCTCGTCCGGTGAAAACATTGTTAGCTCCACAGTAGATTCCTCATCTTCTCTACCAAGTTTATTCTTGGACTATACAGATTTTTCCCCTTTTTGAATGCCTGCTTAGGATGCTCCCAAGTAGCTCACACTGTTAAAAGAAGCATTAATGTTAAGTCCCAAGGAACAAAAAATTCCAGCCAAGAAAATAAAGCACAATAATTTTTCCTTTCCTCAGTTCTTTGTCAGCCGTTTATAATCCTCAGAAGCGGTAAAGTTTAGCCTTAAAGTAAAAAGCCGATGTCAAAAACGTGCCCGTAAGAGAAAGCAAGCAGAATATCAGTCTCACACTGCCGGCTTAGGAGAAACTATAGCAGAGGGGAGGGAGGGAAATAACCACCAGAAGCTCTTTGGTTCAGTCTGCACAATTCATAGCTGCAGGAGGGAGGAGTCAGATATAAGCAGGATAGCAGAAGAGAGTACAAGAAGAATATCTCAAAGCAGAGCTGCTCTCAGATCATAAGCAAGCAAGACTCTTTGCAAAGCCACACCTTCACCTTCAGCACTGCTCCATAGAACCAATGCAAACATTGATCCAACAATAAATGTCATCTCTTTCTCCCAGCCCCAGAACTACTGCACAGCTGTTGTTGGACGGGATACACAGAAGATGAAATCCAAGTGCAACAACTTTCAGAAAGGCTCTGAGGTCAAAGCCAAAGCATTCATGGGGTTCGGGGTCCTCAGATTGAACATTCCTGTGCTAGAATTTGGGGGAGAAATAATTGTCGTTGATGTCAACATTATTTTTAATCATTACAATGGGTAAATCAAAACTGGAAGCAAACCATCTGTTGAGTGGGTAACACCTGGTCTCTTTGACTCTCTAAAACTGCCTCTGTGGCTGTCTATTGTCAGAAAGGAGGAAAGCCAATGAAGACGGCTTGGGGGTGATTTGGCACAGATGGCTTTAGAGCATCATCTCCAATTTGGCACTTTATATCAATGTTGGAATTGCAGATTCCATAATTCTTACATTGGCTTCACATTCACAGGGCTGTCTTTCTGCATTCAACACATTCAATAGTCATCTCATTATGATAGTCTCTGGATGCCATTTCTTTCTCACAAACTGTTTCTGATTACAAGCTTGGGGGAGTTATGTATGAAAAACTTGATCAATAATACAGCATATTGAATTTCATCTTACTCTGCTCCAGTCACATTTTATCAGTGAGTTCTCACAATCTTTATTGGTATGGCTCAGCCCCTAACCCTGTTTTCTTTTGGAATTAAAATCAATGCTGTGTTGGAATGACAGAGTTGGCAAGAAAAATGGAAATGATCCAGGAAAAGCGCCTGAAGAGTTCTTTTTCTCTCTTCCACAGTACTCAAACTCTTAAACTTTTTTGTTTGTTATATGCTAAGCAGAGAATTGAATTTGTATTCAAGGTTTTTTGGGCTGCCCCAGATGGGTACTCTAAATCCCATAATCCAATCTGATACTACAGTATCATGCCTGAAAAGATTCAGGAAATAAATTGCTACTCGAAGATCAAAATACTGTTTTCAGAAAAATGAGTTACATGTTTAGTTTTCTATTCACTGTAAAGCCTGAAAGGAATGATAGATTTTATGACAGGATCTTCCAAGAAGTGCATTGGGCTGTTTATTTCCTGAATCAGTAGTATCAATGCAAGGTGATTTGGGATACTTTGTAGACTGTAGTTCTTGCCTGAAGATCTTTCCACTCATCGGTTCATGAGAGACATACTAAATGAAATATTAAAATTCAAACCAATTTCTCAGTCTGAACAATTCATTTCACACCCTGTAGAATCCAATAGCCAGGCTTTGCTCTTAGGTAGGCTGAAGCAGTTGCTTCAAATTGAAGATGTTATAAATGATTATTAATTTTTATCCTTCTCCTTCTCCATTATTAATTTTTTGTGTTTGTACAAGTTTTTTATTTTTTAGACAAACGAAAACAAACAAAACATAAAACCATAATCAATTACATATAGCATGTTGTTTGGTTACAAGCATTTGTGCAACACCACTTTCAATTGTATATAAAATCACAGATTGTCCATCGAATATACATAGGTACATTATTATCATTGTACATCATTTGTTCAGCTACAATTGTTATTCCTTCATTTTAAACAAAATATTCTAGATATTAGATTCATATATTTACCAATATTCCATTGCATCATTCTTAGTCCATTTAATAATAATATGTTTTTATCGCATCACCTATATCATTCTATTATTCTTACAGTATGGGAAAAAAAGAAAAAAAAATTCTCTGTTTTCATTTCCATATTTTTTTTTATCTAACCACTGATAGAACAGATTCCATACCTGATAAAAGTGTTCATCTTCTTGTTCTCTTATTTCAAATGTCAATTTACTCATTTTAGCACATTCCATTATTTTTTGAATAACTTCCTCCTGCGTTGGTATTTTCTCATTTTTCCAATATTTTGCAAATGCAATTCTAGATGCAGTTAAAACATTTACAATCAAATATTTCA